TTTGGGGTTTAGGGTTTTGGGTTTAGGGTTCATTAAGTGCTCCTTGAAGGGTTCTTTTGTGGGTTCCTTTAGGGGTTTAGGGTTTAAGGCGTCGGGCGGGTTGCTTCGAGAGGGCGTAGGGTTCCTGTTTTGGGTTTCTTCAAGGGCGTTTCCTTTTTAGGGTTCCTTGAAGGGTTTCGGGCTTCCTTTAAATGGCTGCCGTAAGGGTCCCGGTAAGGGCTCTATTGGGGGTTTCCTTCACCTTTTAGGCTTCCTTTAAGGGCTCCTTCAAGGGTTATTTTTGATGTTTTTTTTTTTGGATGTCTTCAAGGGTTTGAAAAGTGGCTACTATGAGGGTATCATGCACTTTGCTTTAGTATCTTTAAGGGCTATTAACATTGCACCGCAAGTGTCTTGCTCTGGGTTGCTATGAGGGCAGCTTTAGGGGTTCTTCAATCATACCTTTAGCCGGAATAACCTACCTTTCTAGGGTACCTCATTATGATTTCCTTATATAAGTCCTTAAAAGGGTAGGTTATTCCGGCTTAAGGTAGGGATTACTTTAAGCTTAACTTTACGGGTTTCTGTAAGGGTATCATAGCGGGTGCAGGGTTTGGGCTCCAGAGAACCGCAGCCCCCGCAGCCCAGTGTTTAAAGCTTAGGGCTTCAGGGCCACCCTGTAATAGTGACTATAAGGATTATATTAGGGCCTTATCATATTCCTATTATACCACTATTACAGGGTGGGGGCAGCTTCTAAGTTATAGGGTTTAAGCCCTCAGAGCTTAAACACTTTGCCCCAAAGCCTGGAGACCTTCATTGAGGAAATCCTAGCCGTAAGCTGTAGTACCCGGCTATACCGGTGTGCAAACCAATGCTGAATCTGCTAACCCTCAAGCTACTTGGTGCGACGGAGTGTTTGGGATGCAGTGACTGTTTGTGTTTACATATTGGTTATGCTACAGGTCAAAGGGGCTTATAGTGCATTTCGGGTAAACGGCCTTCTGATGTTTGTACATACGACCCCAAATATACAACTGGTTAAACCGAAACGATGAACTACAACGGAGACTATATGGGAAATATTTCTGTTCTCCGACTTGGGTTTTCGGTGTCCGCAACTTGTGGGACTGGGGATCGGCTGAAGTGGCGCCCTTGACCCAGGCATCCTATCAGGTGCATGTTGCGGCCCAAGATCCTAAACCCTGAAAGCCCTGATCCCTTTGTTTATGCGCTTCCCGTCACCTCCACGACCTTGAACCCCTCAAGGACCCCAAATCGTAAATCCCCAATCCCTAAGCCTTATACATATCAAAGCCAAGACCCGGGCCAGGAAGAGGTGGACACCTTCCTCCAGGAGTGGCAGGAGGTGCCATGTCTTTTTGGGTGTTCCGTTATTCTTTATTGTTTCGAGGGCTTATGGTTTGGAGTTATGGTTTTGAGGGGTTTAGAGTTTCAAGGATTAGGCATCCGCGCTTCGGGATCGAGGGCATCAGGGTTTCATAGATTCGTTTTGAGTTTCAGGGAGAACTGGAAATGACCCCTGTACGTCAACCCCTGTGAAACCCGCCTGACCTTACTTTAATGCTGAAAAAGCCCTCGTGAAGATGTCTTCAAAACTCTCAAGGTCGCTCTAAAGCCCTGAGCCCTAAACCGTCAACCCCAAAAAGTTAGACTCCAAAAACTCTCCCCGAAGCCCTAGAATTCTGGTAACCCCCGACCGGCGTGAGTTTTGGAAGCCGTTCCGCGACCTTCCGATGAGCAGAGAGAATGGCCTCAACTAAGGCCCAAAACCAAACCAAAAGGCCTCAAACCCTAGCCCAAAGGGTCCTTTGTACTGTTATGGGGGATACTTCCCTAAATCATAAAAGTATTTCCTAATATGGAAACCCTACATCCTACTATATCGGTACATAGGACCCTTTGGGTAGTTACCCAAAAGCCTTAAACACCCTACTTGGGAGGGCAGGGGACTTAGTAAGTAGGTTATAAGTAGGGTTATAGCAGGGGTAACTCCATTTAGGGTACTTATAACTCTACTTACAACCTACTTACTAAGTCCCCTGCCCCTCCAAGTAAACCCTAGATTGCCTTGGCAAGCTGTGGAGGGCCGTGGAGACAGCTGGTGCCCTGAAAGAAGAGTGTTAATGAGATAATGCTCAGCGTCGAGAGCGATCAGCAATGATCTGGGTAATGCCAGAACACTTGACATTTTTCAGACCATAATCTAGGGGCCTAAAGAATCACCTACTTTGGGGGCTCCTTATTGTAGTTATTTTATAAAGGGCTCCAAAACCCTATTTTTATAATTTATCCGGAGGTTGGCCTCAGTCTCCCTTGCAGCGGTCTCGGATGCACACGCTACCTTCAACACGGCCTTCACGGACCTCAAAAAACACTATGCCCTTTGATCACCAGCACATGGGACGCCTCATCACGGAGGTGGCAAAGGTAGAACTGGAGCGCGCCCGTGACCGCTTGAGCATCCTTCCCGACGGGCAGACAATCAAAGAGTGAAGCTGAGCCGGCAGCAGCAGCTGGCCAGATTCATGTTCATGCAGCAGCTCAGGCGCCCCCGCATCGAAGGAGAATCGAACACCTCTCGCTGGGGCGGCTGCTTGAATCTCTGCTCCTCGCTCGCCTTTTGAGGAGCGCATTGAGCTTGCCCGAGGTGCTTTATCGGGCTGTTGCATTCATGTTGGGCGCGGAGGAAGCCATGAAACTGAAGGAGCGCATGGCTCAGAAGACATTTGCTGTCCCGAGCGACACACAACTGAGCCACTCACGCTTCAAGCTTGATTGCCCTCTCATGCGCTCGGCGTAATGCCGCTTTTTAATCTGGCCTACCACTGGGTCCAGTAGCTCCAAAAGATCCAGTACGCTTTAGGGTTTAGGGTTACCATCTCTTTAGTTCGGAAGCATTGAACTCAGTTCATCAGTGCAGATCTAAACTTTACGCAGGATTCTCACCTGATCTTTATCTGGTAGTTTCGGATATTCAAGTTTGACTTACTGCTAAGCTCCAAGACCCCCAAGGATCCAAAGGCTTAGTTTGAGTGGCCCCGCAGAAGCTCAGAAGAGACAGTTTAACGAGATTTGGATAGAATTGATCCAAGAATCCCCGGAGCCTCGGAACATTCCCCCTCCAAACCACACCGCCGCAGTACATTGCTGAACAGATGGTTCAGGAACCTCAGGAAGAAACACTAGGTACACAGCTGCAGGATGGGGATGGTGCAGGAAGACATCAAAACAAACAAGCGAAAGTGCGCAGAACCCTACTATAGATCCCTTATAGAACCCTTGATAGATCCCTTTAACGGAACCCGGGAACCCTATTCAAACTATCGAGGCCCCTTTTTCTCACCCGGAGGCTTCCTTGGCCACGCATAACCGCGAGCAGAAGATGGATGAAGTCTCCGACAAGCTCGAGGCAAGGAGAGTTGTTAGGGTTTAGGGTAATTTGTAATTTAGGGCTTAGGGTCTAGGGTTTAGGGTTTGGGGTAATTTAGGGTTTAGGGTGATGTAGGGTTAGGGTTTAGGGTGTTCTTTTCGGCAGGGTTGAGGATATAGCATTTAGGTTGTAGGGTAATAGTATAGGGTGTAGGGCACAAGGTTTACCTAGGTGTCAAGGTTTTGGGCCTTGGGGATACCATAGGCTGTATAGACGTTCATGACGAAAGGGTTTGAATGGCTCTAGAAGGGTTTCTGCTGTTTCCACAGGGTTTCTCGGGATTCACAGGGTTTGCACGGGTCTCTTCGAGGATTTTAAAAAGCCAGAGGGTTGTACCTGTAACCTGCGCCAGACTTGCGACTCGCAAATTCGATCACAGCCAAAGCACGAGTGCTGAAGTTTCGACACACAACCCCAGAGAGCCCAATACCCCTTAATTAAGGAATATGGCTTAAATTACACAGGGCTTCATATTATGATATATTTAATCCTTAATTAAGGGGTATTGGAGCCCTAAACCCTAAACCCTATAGATCCCTTAAAGGAACCCCTAGGCATTCCTTCATGAAGGGGTATTGGGCTCTCTGGGACGGTGCGGCCTGGGCCTGGCATTAATCCTTGCGCGCTCTGAACATAGAACGGTTTCCATCCTGTCCTAATGCCCTAATTCACGAAGCCCCGGCGTGCCCAAACATCAACCTTTTCAAAATCCTATATGAAAGAATGTTCATCAAGTGTGCATGTGTCTTTGAAATAACCCAGCAAACATATAAACAAGTCAACAAACAAGGGTGCACATGTGTGTGCATGTATGTATGTATGCATGTGTATGTGTATATATATATATATATATGAGTAGTATACACACACATATAGACACGTGTAGACTCAACCGACCGTGGCGGACGAAAGGAATGATAGGCTGTTGTCACGGGCACCTTGCCCCACTAAGTCCTAGTCTTGGACACGAAGCGCAGGGTTAAGAGTGTAGGTTCTTGTGCAGGTGTGTAGCCTTTTGTTTGTATGCGTGCAGAAGAAAAGCCCTCAACCATACGCATTCCTGGCCACAGCCGTCTTGCTCGAGTCTGGCAGCCGGAGTTAGTTTTTGGAGTCTCTGTGACACCCAAGTGTTGCAAGGTTGAGGTTCAGGATTTAGGACAGGGTTGTTGTTTTAGCATATGGGGCAGAGTCTAGCCAAGCGTCCTTTCCAGTGCAGAATTGACTTCGTCACGAGAGGCGTTCCACATGCAACGAAGACTTCGCCTGCCTTTGCGTCCAGTTTTGCAGCAACCCGCTGAGACGCCATACACGGCAAAGCGCGACCTGCAACTGTCAGCAGCGGTATCGGTGTTAAACCAGCTATCAGGACCCTATGGCGCACCCCTACATTTGGCAATCTCCATGTCGGTTGGACGACGATTCTGATTCTGAGTCATATACTATAAGCCGTTTTTGATAACGGTTACGATCCTGATGGCTATGTTGTTCTACTATTTACTAGTCTCGTGCTTCTTCTTATCGTCGGCAGCAGCCGCTTCTGCGACGACCTTTGCCTCGCCTTTTCGCCATGGCTGGGATGGAAGATGAGGAGAATCCGGCTCCTGCGCCGCTGGGATGAGATTTATGTTAGCTTAGATCCCCAACCATTGGGTTTAGGGATTACAGGCTTTAGGGTTTACCATAGAGGGTCCTGAAAGGGTTCAAGCGAAAAAGGCTAGACGCGAAACCCCCCTCAACATTTGGCTCTTCGCCGAAGCCCCACCACCCCCTTAACATGTTGACTCCGCAACAAATCCTGCACTGAGGAATGAGGTGAAACTGCCGCAGTCCGAAGCGATTATGGAGGCCCCGTGTGTGTATACTCGCGGGCAATGCATGCCGCCATCGGTTCTTGTTGCGAATGCAGCGTCATATGCAGTGAGTGAGTCTTGCTTGCTTTTGGAGAATAGTACATAAGGCATATTGCAATGGTTATGGTATCTGTGTACTGATATCAAGAACCTGTGGGCTGTACATTTAGGCCTTGCTCGCTTCATAGCCATCTGGCCAGGGCCAAGGTTTGTGCTTCATTTTTACATGGAAAGTCCGGGTTGTGATGTGGGAGTTTCCGCAAAAGAGGGGTACCTGATTTGGGATCCTTATACTAAGGATCCTACCATGTAGGGCACTATAGTGGGGTCCCCTATTTTCGGACACCCCCATGTGGAGACTTGACTTACTTGACACCACATGACACCACCGATGACCTTATGAGGCCCTCTGGTTCACAGGGAATCCAACTATCGTTGCTTATCGCCTCGGACATGCACCAAAGGCGCTTACCTCCGAAGATAAATTTGGATCTCAGCAAGTTCATGGTACAGGAATATGTTGATGGCTGAAACATAATGACTTCGTACCGGTTGCCCCAATCCTTGATTTTAGTGGTTGAGGTCTCAGAGAATTAAGGGTAGCTAGCACAGGAGCCAAATACACAGCCTGAATATGAGGACTCCTCACTGGGTGCTAGCATTACGAAATCATAGTGCAGTGCGTTTTAAAGCCAGACTAAAACGCCGTCCGAACAAAAAACAGCCTTTTGTTAGTGAGCTCCAACCCCTGAACCCGAAACCCTATCAACTCACATTGCAGGCCATCATCCGCTCCACGAAGCCCCTGCCCATCGACAAAGAGGACGACGCCCTTCGGCCTGCAAGTTTTGGGGCTTTAGGGAACTGAATCTCAATTACGGTCTGCGAACTTGGAGATATTTGGAGACTGCCGAGCGGTGTCGAGGTGCTGTCAAGTTTTCCTACTTGACATATTCCCTTCTTGTGGTTGTTGTGGTGGTTTGTGCTAGTGTTTAGTATGTATAAATATGTCCCAAAAGCACCCGTATAATCCTCTCGCAGCTTACTGTCCTTTCACAGCATGGCTCTTGGTGCTGGCAGGTCTGCAGACCACAGCCAAGTATGCTTGCCCAGCAGTTCCGAAATCCATGTCATAGCTGTCATACAGTAGAAGCCCAAAAGTTGGAAACCCAATAGCCTCAATCCTTGTAGGGAATCCCGGCACTATTTGGCCTTAATCGCGTTTCCAACCGGCTGGTGCCGAAGAGAGCGGAGGTAAGGGCGAGGGCGAGGCGGGGATTGTTGTTTCGGGTTGAGTCTGTGTGCCGTCGTAGCGGCAGCAAGTACACCCGTTGCATTCACGTCGTAGGTTCTAGGTCGCAGGAAGTAACTCGGGTTTCGGTGCCTGTAATAGTACATTAGTACAATCAACACCGCATGGGCCTGGTTATCATCCACATCACGACCCTCAGACTCAGCCTCATTGCCATCAACAATATGCCGGTTCAGGGATGAGGGGTAAAACTGCTCATCATTGGCTTCTTTATGACAGAATTGACGGCAGTGAACTGAACCTCCCAAGGCATGCAACTGGAAGCGAGTTGATCGCTGCTTGCTGCAGATCTCGGATCCCTTGGCTACTCTGCTGATATCGGAGTTCTTGTTTTAGTATGTTTTAGTGAGATGTTGAAGTGCGGTTTAGGGTTTAGGGTTTGGGGTGTAGGTTAGTGTTGAAATACGTTTAGGGGTTTAGGCCGAATGACAGTCAAAATACATGTAATAATGCTAAGACTTGCAATGCGGCAATGACATCCTCATAGTTGCGTGAGTAGTCTGCGAGAACAGGTCCACTCAATGCGCAGATCTCCTTTGAGATCATCGATCTGATATACCGTATCGTTGTGCATGTACAGCACATGCCTTTTACTGGAAGCATGCTGCAAGAGTTTGATACATTGATCATGTTCGGCATTCACGGCTTTCAAACTTCACGATGTTCGTGGCGAATGGTGGTGGTGAGGAGGAGGGGGTTCCTTATTATGTTCATGGTATAATGTACCCCAAAACCGTTTTCTGTTTTTTTCGAGCCCGGTATCCCTCAATGTAGGGGCCTTACTAAATAAACTAGGGTTTTGGTGGCTCCTTATTATACTTGTAGTAGAATATACCCAAACCGTTTCCTAATTGTTAAGGTAAGATATACTTTAATATAATGGATCTTAGCACTAACCCTCCTAAACCCATGTTCCGGGGCATGGCCAGAGCAAATCACAGCCGACGTGTTGCACCGTAAATGCCGGAGTTTAAGCAGTGGGATCCTTATCATACATGTCTACCTAAATGAAGCTTTGAGATCAAAATGCTGCAGCTGTTGCTGCTTTTCCTAAGGCTGTTGCTGCTCCTGCTAGGATGATTAGGATGACGACGACTGCTATTTGGCTCCTGCGACTATTCCACCACTGCTACTACGACGACGACAACTACGACGGGACTGCTACTGCTACTGCTACCACCACCACCACCACCACCACCACCACCACCACCACCACCACCACCACCACCACCACCACCACCACTGATGATGATGATGATGATGACGAGAACGACGATGTTTACGACGGCGACGACGACAATGCAAACAGCAGCACCAGCGACACCAACTAGTTCTGCCAGCAGCAGTACACATGGTAGTCAAGGCGACAGCAACAGTAATCACATAATTGCTCAGTAAGGAATGTCAAACTAGCAGAAGGTAGCAACAACCAAACCTGACGATGTAGTCAAGCCTGACTCACCCATGGCCCCTATCAGCTGTTTACAGATGCTCGTTGAGGTCCCATGGCTGCGTTGCAGATGGATCTTCTTCACTCTCGAGGTGGGGTTTTGAAGCCCTCAGCATCGTAAACGCGGATTCCTTTTCAGGACTGATCCAGCGACGACCTACTGCTGTCTACCCACAAGTCTTTAAAAGGTGAACAGACGTGTATGATTTTGTAACTTGTCCCCAAGCAGTGTCGTGACTTCCTCCATCTTCGTTGTCACGTGGTCGCCGTAGCGGTCGTCCTGGTCGCCTGGGTTGTCGCGCTGCCGTCTCTTGGTGGTTCGTTCTGTTCGTTGTGGTCGTCGGTGTCTTTCAAGGCCTGGATCTTTGCTGGCACAATAAGATTTGCCAGAATACCGCCTCTACCCCTAAACACTAATCCTAGCCTCCCCAAACTCTAAAACCTAAACCCTAACCCCTAACCTCCCTAAACTCTAAACCCTAACCCCTAACCTCCCTAAACTCTAAACCCTAAACCCTAACCTTCCTAAACTCTAAACCCTAACCCCTAACCTCCCTAAACTCTAAACCCTAAACCCTAACCTTCCTAAACTCTAAACCCTAACCCCTAACCTCCCTAAACTCTAAACCCTAAACCCTAACCTTCCTAAACTCTAAACCCTAACCCCTAACCTCCCTAAACTCTAAACCCTAAAGCCTAACCCCCTTTTCGAGACCCGAGCAGGAAACCCGAAGTCCGCACAGGCTCCCAGTAGCCCACAATGAAGACCTAGGATGCCCAGTAGTACCCTTAGGGATCTATAAGGGTTCCTTAAAGGGATCTATAAGGGTTCTATAAAGGGTTTAGGGTTTCCGAAAATTAGGGGCTAGGATGCCCAGTAGTACCCTTATTCCCTTTTTGTAGTCCTAGGTTCCTTATTATAAGTTACCTAATACCAAAAAGAGAGGCCTTTTTATTCTTAGGTTACTCGGTATCTTGGAGACTAGGTAGTAGTATTTGAGAGACCCCTTAAAGGGTAATTATCCCTTCTGAGCCCTACTTGGAGGGTCATGGGACGTAGTAAGTAAGGTTGTAAGTACCTTAATTGGGGTTATAAGTAGTTATAAGTAGAGTTACCCTAATTATTAGGTACTAAGTCCCGTGATCCTTTAAGTACTTCTGGCTCTCTTAAAAGGCGCCGTATTGAGAGGGTCTTATCCCCGAGGGTCCCCCTAATCCTAACTCCAATGGTGTTCCCCCACGACCAAAAGAAAACAAATGGGGGTTTTCGTAAATTAGGGGTACCTTGTCCTGGGGTCCTTATAATAAAGACCCTACTAGTGCGGGTATTATTAAATATTAGGATCCCCTATGTTGGGGAACTCCCAAATAGTACTTACTTTGGGGTCTAGAGCCTATAAATACTACCTACTTCTGGGCTAGTGGGAGTCTCAGGGTTCGGAACTTGGAATCGGGGGGGCCTTTGCACTTCAGTACACTCTTGAAGCCAATGGTGGGGTCTCTGTGTCCGGGGAACCCTTGGAAACCTTTACAGTAGAAACCTCGTGAAGCACCTACAAAACCACAGCAAGCCCTATAACCCACACCGTCGGAATTCTTGCAGGCCCCTATAGCTTGCACAAAAAACCCTATCTAGCGCCTTCCAATCCCTCATAGGTCGTCGGGTTCGGCCTTTGGATCTATGGCCTGGACCGGCACTACTTCGTTTCGTTCCACAGCTGCTTTAGAGCCCAACCTCGTTTGCATTTCGGATTTCGGTTAGCGTGGAAGGACTGTCCACTCTGATTTATGGAGAGATCCTTCATAATTATGGTTTGGAGACTGAAACCGTGATCTGATTTAAGGTGCCTCGAAAGGGTCCTCAGCTTATTCAGGTTGAGGGTCGAGAGATTAGGGTTTGGACTTTCCGAAAATTAGGGGTACCTTCGGGTTCCTATAAAGGGTTACTATAAGGGTAATATAAGGGTTCCTTTAGGGCTCTATAAGGGGTTTGAGTTTCCGAAAATTTGGAGTACCTCATTTTGCGGGGTCCGTATAAAAAGGATCCTACTATTCGAGGGTACTGTGTTAGGGTCCCCTATTTTCGGAACCTCCCAAGTGGTGTGACAAGTTATTTTTCCTAAGTTTGAGCTTCAGGGATGCAGTGTTTGGGAACGGTCCATGCTATAGTTTAGAAGGCACAGGGTTGCAGGGTTGAGTGTCAAGGCTGGAACATGAAGGCAGGGCGGCCTCCGTAATTACGGTTACAGTGTGGTCTATCTTGAGCACTATATTCATGCTCCATGCAAGCTTTGTGGGAGTGTAGTTGGGCATAAACGCACTGAGCGACATCAAAGCCTTTAGACGTCACCGGGTTGCGGAAGATAAGTCCAAAACCTGTAGAAAGGCGCTGAAGAAAGTCAGATTTCCCTCAGAGCGGCAGCTGCTACTGGAAGTCGTAGGGTGCGCCACGGCCCTTAGTACTGTTGATGGACAAAATCCTGCATGACCCTAAGGACCCTAAACTATGGGAACTATGGTATATTCCTTATAGGGGATAGTGTAGGATTTTGTCCATCAGCCGTATTAACCCCAACCCACTACCCCCTTGCTGTACCTTGACCATAGGCCCCATGGTAGCTCTGTTTTAGGGTACATATCTAGAGTTCTATAAGGTATTCCCAAAAACGAACTACTCTGGGGCCTATGGGTTACAACTTGCTAAGTTAGTTTAACCCGAAACTCTGAGCCCTCAACTTGCCAGATTTCCGTCAGCCGGAACTCTTTTCAAGTTCATGTTCGGCAATATCAGTGTGTGGAGTCACTCTTTCCGGCTGAATCCGCAGCTGGGTGAGTTCAGGGTTTAGGACGGGCGGCTTCGGGTTTGAGGCTCGAGAACTTTATCGCTTGGAGTTGCGTAAGGCTGAGGCTAGGTTGAGGATATAATTCTGTGGGACACAAGCCCCGACTATTCGGGTGTGCGGAGCATGTAAGTAGTCCGTGTAATCCCTAAACCCTAGACCCTGGTTTGCAGAGGCCCGGGCACGGGGTATATTCTAGGGTTTGGCATGGTAGGGAAAGGGGAAGGTTTGGCCTCACATCGTACGAGAACGTCAAGCCCTAGAATCCCTAGAACCTGAACCCTAATTAAAGGGTCATGGGACTTACAGTAGTAACTAGGGTTATAATTAGGGTGGCTCTACTAATAACTACTTATAACTCCAATTAAGGTACTTATAACTTATAACCTTACTTACTAAGTCCCCTACACCCTAAACCGTTAATTAGGCTTACTGACATGCTAAAACCCCTAAAAACCTCCAGAAGGAGAGTCCAGTCACGATATCCCGCGGAAGCCGAGGTATGTTCTTGCCATCTACATACTGAATCAGGCACGGTCGGTGACACTAAACCCTAAACCCTAAACGGTGACACTTCGAGGGAGTTGCATTTCTGGGCACTTGCGGAGGTGTACCCGAAGTTGGACCGCAAGGGCTCCAAGGTAAAAGTGGCAAGGTTCCCAAGCATACTATAGGGGGGCCTTATAATAATTACCTATAGGGCCCAAGGGTAGCAGTGGCTGGGTTCCCAAGCATACTATAGGGGTGCCTTATAGTAATTACCTATACGATCTTGGAGGCTCCCTGTTATAACTTTCGCTTTAATGGGCACCAAGAGCCTGTTCGAATATATATATATATATATACATATGTATACATATATATATATATATAGATATATATGTCTGAGTGTATATACATATGTATATATATATATATATATGGCTGGCCCCCATATTACGTCTGAAGGAGGGGCAGAGGCACCGGTCCGGTCCTCAAGGCCCCAAGCATGAATATGGCTTTGGAACCTCAATAACATACCATCAGAATAGGGATCTGTAGTAAATAATATGGTTCCCTTATTATGGTAACTTCTAAACCTGAAACCCCCAAGGGAACCCTTGTGGTTTGGGCCTACTTGATTCCGTAGGCTTGATAAAGGGGTCGGACTCGTTTGCTCATCGTATCCCCGTCCAATCCGTATACAGTGATACTGTTGATGGACAAACCCCTGCATGACCCTAAGGACTCTAAACTAGGGGAACTATGGTATATTCCTTATAAAGGGTAATGCAGGATTTGTATCCCTAAACCCCAAAACCCTATAGATCCCTTAAAGGAACCCCTTAAAGGTACCCTTGTAGATCCCTTTAAAGGATTATAAACCATGCAGGATTTTGTCCATCAGCAGTATTCTCATGCAGCTCCAAAGCCCCACTCTGATTAGCAAGGCCCTAGACAAGTCTTTAGCGATTTGATGGGCGCGCAGAGATTTCTACCCCGGGAATGCTGTTCCCGAACTGTTTCGCAGTGCCTCTAGATGGTTTTATATGAGATTCTCCAAATTGGGGTTTGTTTGTTGGGCACGTGCAGTACGGACTTCAGCATGCATGATCTGGTTCGGGCTTCCTTTCCAGTTTCTGAGGCTGACCTTTTCCTCTGGCCTTTATATTTGCAGATCAGAAATCCTACGTATCTGGGCCTTTAAACCTTTAAAGCATGTGTAGTAGATATATGTATACGTAGACTCCTTTACACACCCCAGCCCGATTCTAGTTTGGAGGCCTCCATGTTGCACCCGAAGCCCTACACCCTTAACTCCAAAACGCTAAGGCCTAAACCCCAAGACCACAAACCCAAAAAACAACCCCCCATACCCTGAGAAGTACATACCAACTTCCGCTCCATGGGGTTTGGTACAACTCTAAAGGTGTAGGGGCTCGAATATACGTGTACCCAGACCCTCCACCTACCTACAGTACATATGTACCTACTATTTGAGGGCCGTTTGAGGGTACAGAGGGTGCTGGTACACAAGATCTTAGGGTTTACTAGAGCCCGTAGCGTACCAGACTGAGTTCCCTGCCGCAAAACCCCTAAACTCCAAAGCCTGTCGACTTCTACAGCCCGTGATGACACTTCAAACTCAATACTTCAAAGCCCCAAGCGGTTTGAAGGTGCTGCTGTTCATGTCCCCTGCAACCGAGGCCGCTGTATTGCCATGAGTTTCATATGTATATATATAATATGTCATTAGCAGTTGCATATTTTCAACTCAAAAGATAATTATTGCTCTGCTGCCGGTTGTCATTACAATCAGCAGCATTATCATAACCGTAGGTTTCATGTTCGTTCTCAAAAGATAATTATTGCTCTGCTGCTGGTTGTCATTACAATCAGCAGCATTATCATAACCGTAGGTTTCATGTTCGGTTTTATATGCCAAGATGTTTGTCGTTCAGGTTCTTTGCCTGGATTCATTCGGTTGGGTCTAGCACTCATGGAGAGTGCTTTGTGTGATCCGTCTGTGCATTCAGCGTTTAGGGCCTGTGGTTTAGGATATTTTTTTTGCGGGTGGGCATGGCCACCTTTATGTAGGCTTACTACTATCTAGTTCGTAGTGCGTACTTTGGCACTTCCCGCAATCATGCATGTATGCGTGTGGCAGGGCGTGGGCTTAGCCATTAGTATAGTAGCTTAGGTCATGGCTAGGGGGTCCAATTTGGGTTTACTTAATGTAGAATCCGGAATAACTGACCCGTGAACCCCAAGCAAGATGTAAACCCTAAATACGGAAACTGCTTTAGGCCCTACATACCAAAACCATTCTAAACCCTAAATACCATACCAGCCATACAGTTGATGATATAAATCCTGCATTGCCCATAATAGGGAATATACCATAATCCCCATACTTAAGGGTCCCTAAGGTGATGCAGGTTTTATATCATCAACCATATTTCGAATACCAGAAACCTGCCAGAAACCTGCCTTGAGGATGATCGGCTTCTCTTGGGCAAGGGCAGCAGCCTCTCGCCCTGATCTAGCTTAAAGCACATTTGGGAGTTTCCGAAAATAGGGGTACCTCATTTTGGTGTCCTTATAGTAAGGATCCTATTATTTAGGGTACTATATTAGGGCCCCCCATTTTCGCAAACTCCCATATTTCAGGGTTCTATATCCATGGGGCTCAAAACAGCGCAGAAGCCCTAGATGTTGTGGTCTTTGGCCCCAAAGTGCTTGAATGTATGAGTCCTCAGAGCCCTAGCATATGGTCCTGGCCGAAACTTAAGGGTCCAAGTACCTTTTCGGAAAAAAAATCGCAAATAAGGACTATTTGGACACTTGAAGTAAACTTAAGGGTCTTGTATTGGTTCTATCAGGGCTTTGTTGGGAGCTTACAGAGAGCACACTATCCTAAGTTAGTTTTACCCGCCGAACTCGGCAATGTGTTCGCGGAACTGGCACAGGTACTACTCATTGCAGGGTGGGCTTTGGGGCGGTTTCTACAGCCTAGAGTGCAACATGCAGGGAAAGTGCAAAGCAAATAAGAGTTCAGGGTTTAGAGGTTAAAGTTTCGGGTTTAGGTTGATCCTTGCATTCTGGGCCCTCTTGAGCTGTTACGTCATAGAAACGGGGTCATAGTCGCCCTCTAAACCACAGAGCACTGTCACAGGCAAAGACTGTGCGCATGCCTGTGACCATGCGGCAAACCCGTCGAAAGCCACTGACAATGTAAAGCTAGTTTCAAGATCCTAAAGCCCATAGGGTCCAAGCAGCACTATAGTATATGCTTTGAAGGACAAGCACATACTAAGTACCTGCTATTTGTTACAATGGTACCTATAGTCTCCATTGTAGTTCCTTTTTTTGGTTAGCCAAAATCTCTATTATAGGACCCTAACCATAAAACTGGTTAACCCAAAAAAGGAACTACAATGGAGACTATAGGTACCTTTTTTGGGATAATCCGATTCAACAGCTTACGGTCTTCATCCCCCAACCTGAGTCCAAGTCCTCACCTGCAAGACGTTCGGCCCTAGACCCCGTCACTAGGCTTGAAGAGGCTTCAAGAGACTGGGATATCGGGGTTTAGGATAATCGGGTGTAGGTTATAGGGTTTAGGGCACCTTTTGTTTGTTGTTTAGGTTAAAAAGTTAGCAAGTTCTAGGAAGCATGATCTACATCTTGCATTATATACCTACTATAATATCACGAATATACCATCGTTCCTATGGTCTATGGGTTATTCAGGTAATGCAGGATTCATATCATCAACCGTAGTGCCAGGATTCATGATTTACGGCTACCTGGACCCCAAAAGTATGTAGAATAATAGCCTTTTTTTACGCGTATTGAGCCATTTTACCTACTTTACGACCCTCATTTCTGGATCGTGAACCGCGGAAGAAGCTACAGGACGCCTCAACCCTACACCCTCTACCCTGAACCATTCCCCTGAACCGTAGGAACCTACAGGAACCCGGACCCTAAGAGTCCAAGTAGTCCTATTATTTATGGTTTCTGATATCTAAAAAGGCGCTAAAGTCCCATAATAGGGAGTACTTGGACCCTTAGGGTGAACCTTAAGCCCTAAATCCCAAGCCCGCACACCCTAAACCTAAACCCAACAACCCTAAATCCCCTTCACCCTAAAGACTCAATAGATTCAATAGATCCCGTAAAGGGACCCTGGTAGGAGCCCTTTAAGGAGCCCTAGACCCCTACACCCTAATTGGGGTTGCGGTACTTATAAGTCCCTAAGACAACTACTTACTAAGTCCCCCGACCCTCCAAGTAGGGCGTAGGACACGTCCCGAAGTCCTAAAGTCAAACTCCAGGCCCTCAACCAATCCCCAAAGACACTACACCCTAAAGACTCAATAGATCCCGTAAGGGGACCATGGCAGGAGCCCTTTAAGGAGCCCCTACCCAAAGACACTAGGAACCCTGACCCTAAGGGTCCAAGTAGTCCTATTATTTATGGTTTCTGATATCTAAAAAGGTGCTAAAGTCCCCCAAAGACACTACAGGCGAGTATCGGCCTTTCATTCGCGCCCTCTCCGAGTTCAAGCTTTGGGGTCGAAGTCCCTCGACCTCTTAAGGGTTTGGGGGTTTAGGGGTTTAGGGGTTTAGGGTTTAGGGTTTAGGGGTTTAGGGGTTTAGGGTTTAGGGTTTAGGGTTTAGGGGTTTAGGGGTTTAGGGGTTTAGGGGTTTAGGGGTTTAGGGTTTAGGGTTTAGGGGTTTAGGGGTTTAGGATTTAGGAGTTTAGGGTTTAGGGGTTTAGGGTCTGGTTTTTACGGGGTACCCAAAAAGCGGTACTAGAAGGGTAGGATAAGGGTTTCAGGGTTTGGGGTTTAGGGAGCTGTAGGGTTGCTAGGGCTTCCAGGGTTTAGGGTTTGTGATATATGGTTAAATTATGGTTTGGGCTCTTAGGGTTAACTAAGGGCCCTCTACGTTGTAGGGTTTACGGTTTAGGTTCTGAGGGCTCAGGGATGATGATTTCGGGTTTCAGGTACACAGTTTCGGGCTATGGGATTCGTCGATAAAACTTGGTTTTCTGACGTTGGTTGATCCATGTCAGATCCATCATCCAAATTAATCTGTAGTACCCGCAATAAAGGTGGTTCACACCACGAAATAACCAAAGCATGAATTGAAAGCCAGAGGCGCGACCGCGACCACCGCGGCCTTCGTCGCAACTTTCTTCGATGATTTGGACCTGGAGGTAGACCCAAGCGCCGCCCGGACAATGAAACTGGTTGCCATCAACGCCAAATCTTAAATCCTGCATCGACAGGGGGTTTTGCTTGTTCCTGCCTAGGGTTCTACAGGTTATCCTAAGGGTCCATATACCCAATCGCAAATACTTTGGCCCCAATGTATTCTTTGTTCTATAAGGAAAGAATCCCAGCCATAAGCTCAAGAGAGACTTGGGGGCTGTTTGGATTTATGAGGGCCAAATACTTGGCGGCCCAGGGGACTTAGTAAGTAGGTTATAAGTAAGGTTAGAATTGGGGTAACTCCATTTAGGGTACTTATAACCCTACTTATAACCTACTTACTAAGTCCCCTGGGCCTCCAAGTACCTTTAGCTCAAACTGCTAGCAAGTAGGCTACGGCTGGCGAAATCAGAGCCGCAGAGCCGCAACTGGGTCTTCATCGCCCTGTCACAGGCTATCTACGAAGCAAGCCATCTGTCCTCCAAACACTCGAGAGTCCAGAGCTTTCGCTTTAGAGATTGAGGTTCTCCTTCTCTACTTCCTGCTGCTCTTCATCTATACTATGAAGCAGCAGATCATGCACATGATTCAGTGCCGAGTGCTGCAAGAGCCGGGGTTCTGAAGGGTTTACTATATGGGGGCTTAATAGTTACCTACACTATTTTTGTGGTTCCTTACTATAAATGTAGCATAATGTACCCCAATTCCCTATTCACATATATATATATATATATATATATATATATTAATATTACGACCCCTACAGTGCGGTTACATTCTACTATACAGGTAAATTGGACCCCCTGGTAAGGATTTAGGAGTGCATGGCATCAGGAGTTCTAGGATTTCGGGTTTGAGGGCTGGCCTGCCTGCTCAAGGTTGCGCTCCACATCCTGCAACCCCACTGCAGCATGTCGCCCATAAGGATGGCGCAAGCATTGCGAGAACATAGCGTCATACAGGGGCCTAAATAGGTACCATTGCTACATTGGAGCTCAAGTACGTTAGAATCTACCCCGAAATCCTAGTCTAGTCTAATTATTCAGGCCGCTATTTCATGTATTCGCAAGTCTTTTCAAGGCTGTCTTGTGGGGGTTGCTCATGCCCCTGCAACTGCCCTGTATCAATTGTGTCCGAATAAGTCAGTACTATAGGCGCCTAAATAGCTGATTATCATGATTATTGTGAGGGTTCCTTATAATAACTATAATTGTAGTATAACGGGCCCCAAAGCCTAAACCCTAAACCCTAAACCCTAAACCCATAAGGGCCCCTATATTAGTATGCTCTTGGAGTCCTCTGTCTCCATTTATATACCATACCAGGACCGAAGGTGCAAAAGTCCTGGGTCCCCAAAAATCCTGCAGCCTAAATGCCTAAACCGTGGTTCACGTTCCTTGGAGGTTGTAGGGCTTACCTTGACCCCAAAAGTATGTAGAAGAATAGCCTTTCATAGGTTTTGGGCCATTATTTTACCTACTTTTGGGGTCTGGGTAGGGCTTGAGGCTTGAGGGTTTGGGGTTCAGAGTTTGGGGTTTGTTTTCGTCTCTGTACTCGCTACACGCCTCAGCCGAAATTTTCGGAGCAGTGGGAGCTTTGTCGCGCCAAACGAAGTTCAATCCTGGCATGGGCTCAATAACCCCCTAAGCCCTACCTGGTTCCTGATCGTGCTTTTCTTGTAGTATGAGTCCTTAAGACAGTAGGTTCTCCAGGGTCCAGGTGAACTCTAAACCCACTCCAGCAGCAGAGCTCATCCGTTCAATGGTTTTTCTACTGCGCCGCCTCGAAACCCGAACCCTCAGTCGCCAATCCTGGCATACTATAAGGGGCCTAAAAAAATACCGATACTGTTTTGGGGGGTTCCTTATTTCTACTAAGATAGTACAATATGCCTCAAAACCCCATCCTAATTATTAAGGCCGCTATACTACCCCGGGAACGAAAATTGAAGCAATTCCTCAAACCGCCAACGCCTTGTAGAGATTCTGCATGCTTACGTAGACCGTCTACAAGCATTGTCCAAAACCCAGAGCCCTGGAATAAACTGTTCCTGCTTGGTCAAGAGGCGACAACACACCTCAACCAAAAGTGCTGAAAATCCCGAAGACCGGGAAGACTTATGAAGAACCCTGTAAAGCAGCTATAGCAACCGTGTTAAAACTACATAAACTCTAAGTTCAGCTGTAAAGCCCTGATAAGCCGGTGTCCTCTGAGGTACAGCTACGTCCTAAACACTAAACCTTAAAACCACCCAACACCACAACCCAGAACCCGCCGTACGCTGAGGTACAGCTACGTCCCGTGGAATCGGTCCAAGAAGCAAACCTCAAAAGATGAGGCGTTAGATGTCTAGGCCGCTGGCAGTCCCAACCCAGAGCCTCCAAAACACCTTGATTAAGGAATATGCCTTGAATCATATTAGGGCTCCTATTATAGTTTAAGGTATATTCCCTTAATTAAGGGGTTTTGGAGTCTCTGGGAACAGCTTAGCTACGCTTCCCTTTAGGAATACGGTTCAGCGCCTGAGGCTTTGAGGGATATCGCCAAGGGGCCAATATGAGCATTATATAATTTTTATGGCTCCAGGCCAGGCCACTGCTGAAGTACATCGGCATATGATAGACTCAACAGTTCGTGGGATGGCCAGCAGAAGTATTGCTTCTGTGCTATAGCACTCCGGCATCCATACAGCTGACGTTGGGCAACTGAGGAACACCTAGAGCAGACACAGCCCATACCCTAGGTGAGCCCGAAAACCCAACGAACATAGAAGCCTACATATTAGTAAGTAATAGTGTTCCCTTATTGCTGCTATGTAGCTTTACGACTATACACCCCAAAACCTTGTTCGAATTATGAAGGCCCATATACTAGCAGTTCCGTTGACGACGAACGGAAGTGCCAGCGCCTTTCCTCCGGTCTCACGCAGGCCTTGCAGGTCAGGGGCGCAGGGGCTTTGTGCTTGCCCCAACCCCGAAAGACTGAAACTAAAACCTAAGTTGTGGTTCAACCATATGCGGATGAAAGTTGTGAATTGTAATTGTAACGCAACGGTCGGTTCTGAAGCAGTCATTGGATGAACGTAAGCATCGCGGCTTTGTGTTACGAGGGCCGCGAAGAGTCCATTCGTGAAGCCGCGTTCCCTTTTTACTCGTCAAGTCCTTGGCTATGATGTGGTGTACTGCCGTGCTGGAACCATGATCACCCGCCGGTCGAAAGACTAAAGCTCTGAGAGTCTCAGCATGGCCATCTTGATTTTCACGAGTCTCATCATCACTGCGAACTCTGTCGTCTCAGTCAGTTCAGCTTCATGCAGGGGCTGTTTCAGGGGGTGGGTGTGTGTGTGTGTGTGTCTGTGTGTCTATTCCAGTGTACTGTCAGACGAGGTTGTATGAGTAGCCACAGACACGTGCTGTCGCACATGGCGTCGTCGAAGTCGTCGCCGTCGCAGAAAAAGCGCAGTGGGAGTAGCAGCACTGCTGCAAAGTAGCAGTAGTAGTAGTAGTAGTAGTAGTAGTAGTAGTAGTAGCAGCAGCAGCAGCAGCAGCAGTAGTAGTAGTAGTACTAGTAGTACTACTAGTACTAGTAGTAGTAGTAGTAGCAGTAGTAGTAGTAGTAGCAGCAGTAGTAGTAGTAGTAGTAGTCGTAGGGGTAGTAATACTCTTGGCAGCCTTGAGCGAAGAAGCCTGGCGCCCTAACCTAGGCCGCAGACTTTTCAGGAAGAAAGTGCTGGTGGTGGAGCTTTCTACGGTTTTCCAGGATTCCGGAGCTTTTAGGGTTTAGGGTTTAGGGTATGATTTAAGGTATGTTGCTAGGTTAGGAATTCCTTCATTCTAGCTTTCGCAGGATCCTTCTGGATTGTGATTGGGGGCTCGTAGAGTTGGGCTTTTCGGAACAGGTTTCAGCAAGTTACTTAGATGGTGAACAGGGGAACTTTAAGCTTTTTGGCCTTATAAATTAGCTCTATCCTAGAAAGTTTGACCTTTTTGGGCCCGGTTGTTGAAGAAGAGAGGTTAAGGCTACACCAGCGGTTCCACCTCGGAGCGATGGCAGATGGCACGGCGAAGGAGAAAACAGTTTAGGGTTTAAAGGGAACTCCAGAAAGTTGGAATATGGAATAATGGCAGGATCCCCTATATTTTACCTTAAAGGGACTATGATAATGATATTCCAACTTTCTGGCTTCTACTGTAGCGAGAAGTGTCCGGTAGCCTAGAAAGCCAGACCGTCCCTTGACGAGCGTGTAAGTTCTGGGCCCCAAACCCTGTTCAATGCAATTCGAATCCTACGGTTGATGATATATATCCTGCATTACCCATAATAAGGAATATACCATAGTTCCCATAGTTTAGAGTCCTTAGGGTTCATGCAGGATTTATATCATCAACCGTAGTAGGGAGGTACTAAAGGTCCGCAAATCCGGTGGGTTTCTGCGAATCTGGGTCCGTGTCCGATGGTTCGGGTTGTCATGGTTGTGACGTGGTAGAGCGACCATAGACGGTAAGAATAATATGTCTATATATATATATGTATATATATATATATACATAGTACAATATAACATAACATGATATGATGTGACATATATATATATGTCTTTTCCCTTATACGATAAGATACTCCATCAGCCACTTCTTGTTCTTGAGGCTTGAAGGCCCCCTATTTCAAGCAACCTGCGCCCGCTTCGTTTTCTGGGGACTTCTGAAAATAATTGAAACTGAAACCCAAAACAGGCTAATACCCTAAACCCCTAACCTGGTGTAGTAGAAGTCGGAGCAGGCGTGTCCGGACACTCGCAACAGGAAATGGCCGAGGCCCCTCCTGAAGAACACAGGCTCACCGACAGGCCCAGCAATTTCAGCCACTATGTCGTGTTATAGTAATATAGTATGTTATACTGGGTCATAGTGCGCGAAATTGCTGCATGTCAATGTGATCTTATGTTCTACAGTATTAAGTATTATAGTAGAAGCTACTGAAGTTTTGCAGGAAGACACACACTCAAGCAAGATGTGCGAAATCCTTCCACCCTGATCTCCCAAAACTCTCACACCCCGATGCCCCAAACCCTACTTGGAGGGTCGGGGGACTTAGTAAGTAGCTAAATTAGGGACTTATAAGTACCATAACCACAAGTAGGGTCCCTTTTGCGGTACTTATAAGTCTACTTACTACCTACTTACTAAGTCCCCCGACCCTCCAAGTAGCCCCAGGCCCTGAAGCCCTTCCGAAGCCCTCAAAAGGGAACTCCAGAAAGTTGGAATATGGTTTCAGGGTAGGATACCTTATAATTTACCATCAAGGGTTTAGGATAATCATATTCCAACTTTCTGGCTTTTACTTTAAATTCTAAACTCCGCGTCTCTGTGCAGGTCAACTTAGTGGGAGCCTCAGTTGGTTCTCTTGTTAAAGAACTTTAGCGTTTAGGACTGAGGCCTCTAAGAGTTTAGGCTTGAGGGTTCAGGGTTTAGGCGGAATCTGGGCTTCCCGGTAGTACTGTACCCTCTTGCCCTTGTTGTTTTTCTGTTCCCTTCTTAAAGCCAAAACCCTAAACCCTAAACCCCTAAACCCTAAACTGTAGGATACCTTGACTATTGTGGGGCTACTGGGGGACCTGGGTCTGGATTGTCTTTTAGTTAGAGCAGTTCCGGTTGAACTCTTCTTAGGATAGGCGCCTTATATGTAAACGCTAAATCCCAGAAGGATCTCCAGCACAGGCTCACTTTCGGCACACCTCCGAAGAGCGTCGGCAGAGGAGTTGAGGTCGTTCCTAAAGCCTGCACCCGACTGCGCCCTCACTTAAAGCCCACTTATTCGGCTTCTGGATTGGTAGATCTGGATATGTACCATTTGTCAAGTCCTTTCGGGGTGCACGGCTGCAGCTTTCACATATCAGCCAATGCTGTAAAATTAAACCCTACACCCTGAACCTTGAACCGAGACATGCATGGCCTGGAAAGTTCGCCTGTGAGCGCGGAACTCCCAACCCGGATCCCTAAACCTTAAAAGTTCTGGAGTTCTGGAGCCTTAAAGCCTGCAGAACAGTAAGCCCTAGATCTTGTATGGTTTTGAAACTCTAAACCCGTTAGAACTCTAAGCCTATATGATGCTAAGCTCTGAACCCCTGCGAACTCCACACTCTAAGTCGTTGCAGCCTTCATCTTTGGGACAGCGCTGAGGTCATGAACGGTGTTAGTGGCATCGAGGATCGTCTGCAGGATGAGGTCTCTGATACCATCATCAAGATGACGCAGGCCGGGTGCGCGAAATACTGTTTGGAATTTGGGTACACACTCACATTCACATGCGTACATGTGCATATAAATATGCGTATGTATACATATATATATATATAGATGCTGTATGCATATTATATGTGTGCAAAGTCTATAGTGTATATACATATGTACAAGCATGTATATATATATATATATATATATATGTACTCAGGCAGATATATATATATATATGTACACATACATATATATATATATATACATACATACATACATATATACGTATGTATGTATGTATGTATGTATGTATGTATGTATGTATGCATGTATGTATCTACCTGTCTATATATATATATATATATATATATATAGACAGGTAGATAGACTGACAGGTAGACATAGACAGATAGAAAGATCGGCATACCTTTCTGTATGTCTGTATGTTTACATATATACCTACATGCTTAGAAACACATGTATGTGTGCGTGTGTATCGACAGGCATGCATGCATACATCCATGCATGCATACATGCAATGCATGCATATATCATGCATACATGCATACGTGCATGTGTACATATGATACGTACATTATGTACAGGTATACATATATATATATATATGTATGTATATACACACGTATATGAAGTTCTATAGGATTTCGGGTTTCGAAAGTTCGGGTTTGAGGCCTCAGTAGGTGCCTCGGGCTGGAGGCTGTTTTCTTGTGTTTGGTTTGCGGGGTTGGTGTTACTTGAGGTGGGGCCCTCTGTGAAGGCTTACTTGGAGGCCCAGGGGACTTAGTAAGTAGGTTATATGTACGGTAATGAGTACCCTAAATGGAGTTACCCCACGTAGAACCCTTATAACCTACTTACTAAGTCCCCTGGGCCTCTAAGTAACCCTAATCCCCCTTATAGAACCCTTATAGATCCCTTTTAAGGAACTCTTTAAAGAACCTACTTACTAAGTCCCCTGGGCCTCCTAGTATACGGCATACCAGCACAGCTACGGGTACCTAAACTCCGAATCTGAGCTCTATGAATATTGTTCGAAGATGCCCATAGGCCCCATAGTAATTCCTTTTTCCCCTGGGCATCAAAATAGCCCAAAAGCCCT